TTCAGGCTCGGAGCTGCTCGGAGCTGCATGGAGCCGCGTCCACATGTGAAGCACAAAAGTCTTTAATGACAGCTAAGTGGTTCTGGTTCCATTATTCATCTGTCGGAGGAGCTCTGCTGAATAAAACACCACAGAGGTTAATCTGTTAAATAAAACATTCATCTCATCTATCTGTGAACTTTGACCACTGCGGGACTGGCACACGCACAACAGCTACAAACTTTTATGGCGTTGAAAAAAAGTGATAAAAACATGTGTCCTGTGAGTGGGCTAGCATCTCTACAAACTGCACTTGTTCATGTCCTGGTCAGGGGGGAAAGGTTGCATTCGTGTGATCACAATAGTCCAAAGAGCCTGCCGTTTAACATAGAAAGAACATACAGAGACAGAGACTCCCTTCATCACTATCTCTCTCCCTCTCTGTCTCTTTCTCTCTCCCTCTCTGGTATCTCTCTCTCTTTGGCCTCTCTCTCTCTGGTCTCTCTCTCTGTCTCTCTCTGGTCCTCTCCTCTCTCCTCTCTCTGATCTCTCTGGTCTCTTTCTCTCTTTGGTATCTCTCTCTCTTTGGCCTCTCTCCCTCTGGTCTCTCTCTCTGTCTCTCTCTGGTCCTCTCCTCTCTCTGATCTCTCTCTCTCTGGTCTCTTTCTCTCTCTGGTCTCTCCATCAACTATGGTCGAACAGTGGCAGAGTGGTTAGCTACAAACTTTAGCCTAAGATAAACACATGGAGAAAGTTACAAGTGAAAAATAGATCCCCAGGTATTTTATGGAGTTAAAGTCGTGTGAGTGGGCTAGCCTCTCCACAAACTTGACTTGTACATGTCCTGGTGAGGGGGGAATAGGTTGCGTTTGTGTGGCCTTACAGTAGTTCCAAAGAGCCTGCAGTTTAACATTATGGTGACGGGCAGCTGAAAAACCTTACCTGGTAACTATGGTGACCGTCAAAAGTCAGATTCTAATCTTAGTTTAGAGACTGGTGTTTCTCTCGGCCTCTCTCTGGAGTCTGTCTCTCGGGTCTCCCTCTGGGTCACACTGGTCTCTCCATCAACTATGGTCTAATTATTATTTTAAAGAAAATGGCTCCAGCTAGCTTGTGTTCTAATTGGCCTCTACCGCATTAAGGCTAACACTATGGTGAGGTTAGCACTCAGTCAGTCCATTCATATACGGTCTGTGGCCAAAACCAGCTGAATGTCACCAACAAACTGGCAACTCAAATGAGCGCCTCATTCTGTTCTCTGATTGGATAATCTGCTTGAAAACTGTAAACATAAATATCATACATACAGATATGTATTGACTATATTTTTAACATCTAACATGCTTGCACACTTCTGTATTTTGTACAATCTGAGAGATTCTCTGCCAAATGTGACAGTGAGATCAATAAAGTCAGTATCATTTTATTTTATATAAAAACAATTAGGATTTATACATGTGACTTGTTTTCTGGAGACATGTATAAAAGACGTAGATGAAATTGAACATTTAAATGTTTTTTAATGTCATTGCAATTTTGTCCCATATAAAACGCCCCTGTGTCTTTCTCAAACAAAAACAAAAAAAGTTTTAACAAGAACATTTATTAACATTTCTGAACACTGATCATCCCGCTCCCTATGCGCTCCAACTGTTTGATTCTCTGATCTGTCGTTGGCGAATCCACAATCTGTGCCGTGGACCCAGTTCTTCCCAACCCATTCTTCAACAAACACGTTTTAAAATGTGCACAAGTGTGACGCGTCGCTGTGGCCTTGTCTACTTTCACACACTCTCGCGCTCGTACGGACCAGGACTCCAGGAATGCTTTCAACTCTTTCAGATTCTTGTGCCAAAAGTGTTTTTCCACTTTCTGCTTTTCGCCGAGAACATTTCAAAAGGCTACACATGCTGTCCCTGCATGTACTGACCATGGCCATTACGCTCATATCAGATCGGTGCCTTTGAAGTGCCGAGTGACAGAGCAAAGTAAATAGCAAGCTCGAGCCTGTGCGTTAATTGACCTATAGCAATTAAGCAGCAGTAATTGGTGTGTGAATGTCGGTGCAGTCACGCGGCTCGTTACTCTGTTTATTGAACACAAAGAGTGTAAATACGCTTTGGCGACTGAACTGCTGTCCTCTCTGCTTTCCTCTGTCAGCAGAAAAAAAGTTTGATTATTTGGATCTAAAGCCTCGGTCCTGGATCTACAGCCTCAGTCCTGGATCTACAGCCTCAGTCCTGGATCTACAGCCTCAGTCCTGGATCTACAGCCTCGGTCCTGGATCTACAGCCTCGGTCCTGGGTCTACAGCCTCGGTCCTGGGTCTACAGCCTCGGTCCTGGGTCTAAAGCCTCGGTCCTGGGTCTAAAGCCTCGGTCCTGGATCTACAGCCTCGGCCCTGGGTCTAAAGCCTCGGTCCTGGGTCTAAAGCCTCAGTCCTGGATCTACAACCTCAGTCCTGGATCTACCGCCTCAGTCCTGGATCTACCGCCTCAGTCCTGGATCTACCGCCTCAGTCCTGGATCTACAGCCTCAGTCCTGGATCAACGGCCTCCTTCCTGGTTCTAGAGACCAAGTCCGGTTCTACAACTTCAGTCCTGGTTCTACAGCCCGAGTCCAGGATCTACAGCTTCAGTCTTGGAACTACAACCTTAGTCCTGGATCTACAGTCTCAGCTTTGGATCTACAGCCCGAGTCCTAGAAACACATTTCTTTAAGCAGCTAAAATCTGGAGCAGTCTTCCTGAAAATGTGAGACACTATAACCATCACACTATAAAAAAAATATATAATACAAAAATAAATAAGAGTAAACCTTTTTTGATTGAACGTGGAACCTCTGTAGCTTTGCTTTTTGGGGAATAAAACTTGGCAACTCAAAGGTACTTTCCACGTGCTGCCAAACTATTCACGGCCTTATAGTAAAAGTTATTAGATGTGGCGCTAATATTACTAGGCCCATGTGGTAATCACTTTGCAGATGTTGCTGTAAAACTTTGAATGAATAGGTTCCAAGTTTTTTTTTGTGGGGTCTTTTGTTTTGCGGGGCCGGGGGGGGGGGGGGGGGGGGGGGGGACACTGCTGCAAAATGGCCGTCACAAAATCTTAAAGATAATGCAATCTCTGTATATTTGCATCAATTCCCAAATGAATTGTAGCACTTTAAATAGTTAGTTGGTTATGGCACTCCCAAAAGTGCTACGACAAGGTGCACATTCTGTCATGGTTTTATGTTGGTTTTATGGTTAGGGACACGTCAAAAATAATTAGTTCCAATTTTTTAGTTCCTTTTTTTGTTCTTTCTTTCTGGTGTAAACAGTGCAGGGGAAAATGTCCGTCACAATATCTTCGATGTGATAAAAGCGGCCATCTCTGTGTGTTTTGTGTGCTGCACTTTCAGTACTCAGCCGTTTTCTGCACCACTAAAAAGGGGCTGGCAGAAGGTATAGGTTGCTTTTATTCTTTTCCTGAAAATGCATAGTTGTACATAAATTACACAGTATTTTTCTCCTTCTAAATTTTCCAAGAAATTCCATGATTGGAAAAGTAAATATAGTTCTTATATATTTTTGCCCTCTCTTTTACAAAACAGATTGAAATGATTTTGCCGCTGACACCACTGTCTTCATCATCAGCACAAATATTTTTTTATGAATACATTTCATCATAAACATAACACATACACATGATCGCTATATAAATGTAAATGTGCAAATGTGCACTTTTATTGTCCCCGTAGGGAAATTTGTCCTCTGCATTTGACCCATCCTAATGCCACTAAGGCTTACGTCAGGAGCAGTGGTCGCCGTAGTAACTAGGGGTGGGAACCTAAGGGTACCTCACGATACGATACGATACACGATACAAAGCTCACGATAACGATAATATCACGATAACGATATTACGATAACGATTTTATCACGATATGACGATTATTGATATATTGGTCAGAAATATACAATATGCCAATTTATGGCATAAATAAAAGAAAAAATACTCTTTATTTCATGATAAATAGAATGGAGATGCGTAATGTAGCCATATATTAAGTATTGATACCAATTTAAAAAAAAAAAATAGTAAAAAAAAAAAAGAAACACATTTTTTTTTTTTTTTTTTTTCAAAATCGATATCGATACTTGGCAAATGCATATCGATAATCGAATCGCGGGAGAAAGTCACACCCCTAGTAGTAACAGCGTCCGGGAACCCTTCTCCAGATGTTGATGCTGGGCTTGGTCAGGACCAGAGCTGGAGGATTTAACTCAGTGAGCCTGTTTTTAGTGGTAGAGGAAACCGGAGCACCCGGAGGAAACCTACGTAGACACAGGGAGAACATGCAAACGCCACTCAGAAAGGCCCTGTTCCAGGATTCGAACCCTGGACCTTCTTGCTGAGAGGCGAGACTGCTATCCACTCAGCCACCTTGCAGTTTTATTCCAAAATAGTTTTTTTAAAAGTCTGTCTCTTATCCATTTTGTCACATTCTTAGTTTTCATTTCTTGTGTGAAAGAACCCCAAAAAGTGCTAAAAGCAAAACACACACAATAGATGACCCTTCCACGGTTATTGGATTGGTTAAGTCTGGGTCATTTCAACTCAAGAATATGTTTTGTTTTACACCATTCCATTGTGGAAAAAGGCTTTCTCTGTTTAGGAACACTGACTAATATTACTAGAACCATGTGGTAATCACTCTGCAGATGGTGCTGTAAAAACTTCAAAAGAATTAGTTCCAAGTTTTCTCTTTTTGCCAGGGCGTAAACACTGCGGGAGAAAATGGCCGTCCCAATGTTTTAAATGTACTAATAGTGGCCATCTCTGTATGTTTTCTCTGCTGCGAAACCATTTCCCTAATGGAGTGCAGCACGTTAAGTAGTCAGTAATAATGAGGTGTCTGTTTGAAGGAGAGACAATAATGAGCCAAGAGGTTTACATGGAGAGAATAATGCGTTTATTATGGATGTTTGTACAGGTTTTCCGGAGCGGGGCGAGAAAGCAGATGGCTGGCGTCACTAAGCTACTTCGCGGACCTCCTAGTTCTCTTGTCCCACGAGAAGTTTGCCCCGTAGGATTTCACTCGCGGCTTGGAGCTCCTCTTCTCTGTCACCTCGTAGCTCCAACCTGCGTGAGCGAAACAACACGAGGGGTGGAGAGGGGAGGGGGTGGTTGGGTGAGGGGGTGACGAGGGGCAGGGGGGAGAGAGAGGACGTCATGTATATTCATCTTGGCGAATCTCCAAGCACAGCGGAGCTAGGAGACGTCAAAAGGCTGTGCTCTAATAGCTTTGGTGGTGTAATAAACAAGAGGACGCCACGCTTTTCTCCCACTCGCTTTTCAACAAACTTTCCCAGATGGTCCGGGTCGGAGTTTCAGCTGAAGCTGGCGTGTGTGGAAACGCATGGCACGGTCATGCTTGACTTGGGGAGAGCTTAAAGGAGACGTGACACGCTCCTGCTTGTGATAATCCGACACCTTTGGCTCGTGGTTGTGAAGGAGAGCTAGCAAAAGTACTGATACAATGTGCAATGTGCGTCATGTTTAAGAAGTCAAAATGTAGCGTTTTCATTTGCGTTTTTTTGGGAAAGATCGCGACAAAGATAAAGTACTGAAAGATAAATAATACGTGATTCAATTTGTTCAATTAAAAACGGCAAAAGGGGGCAGAAGTATTCGCCCTCCATGAGTTTATACGTTAACGATGGTGACCACAGAGAAGGCCCTGTGCTCTGGGTTTAAGACCCCAGAGAAGGCCCTGTGCTCTGGGTTTAAGACCATAGAGAAGGCCCTGTGCTCTGGGTTTAAGACCATAGAGAAGGCTCTGTGCTCTGGGTTTAAGACCACAGAGAAGGCCCTGTGCTCTGGGTTTAAGACCATAGAGAAGGCCCTGTGCTCTGGGTTTAAGACCACAGAGAAGGCCCTGTGCTCTGGGTTTAAGACCACAGAGAAGGCCCTGTGCTCTGGGTTTAAGACCACAGAGAAGGCCCTGTGCTCTGGGTTTAAGACCATAGATAAGGCCCTGTGCTCTGGGTTTAAGACCCCAGAAAAGGCTCTGTGCTCTGGGTTGGAGACCACAGAGAAGGTCCTGTCCTTCGAGGGAGTGTATAGATTCGTAAAGTGAGCTCAATCCAATAAAAGCTTTAGGAACAAACGCAAACGTCTTACTTGAAATTCTACCATTAACCGGAAGCGAGAGCAAAGACGGTTGTGTGTGTTTAAATGTTCTATTTGAACAGAAGTGACATGGATCAAATTACCATTTTTTTCAGCAAACGCCATGGCATCTTCCTTGGAAGAGAAACTCAGCACCATGTTGGAAAGAGGATCCCCACTGCAGGCAAGACAGAACATTACATTTAACTAAGGATAAAAAAAGTCTATATACAATGTGGCATTCAATTAAATGCAATGTATTTTTGTATATCCCTAAATCACAAAAGCGGTCGCCTCGGAAGACGTTGCAAGGCTGTCGATTCATCAACAGCAGATCAAAGAATCAGTTTGAAGACAGGAAATACAATAATAAAAAGCCTGTTATAGAAATATTTTAGTAAAGCAATCTGAATTAACACCAAATAGTTATGAGTGTAAGTTATTAACTAATAGTGAACTCTGGATTCAGATACAGGCCATAATGCTCTGTTGGCTCAGGTCAGTGATAGATGGAGACGTGCTGCATCATGTCTTTGACCTGGGTCATAGAACAATATGTTCAGTTCAAAATCAGATTGTTACATATATCAGAGTTGTATCAGCGTAAGAACGCGTGAAGAGAAGCCTTGAGCAACACATATCAATGTTGACTTCATTTATGTAATATCTAGAGTCGATATGTGTTTGTTTGCTCTGGTCTATTTAATGTCCAGTTATTTCCTCAATCGGGGCAGTCGGTTTCAGACGGCTGCCCGGTGGTATTGGTATCGGTTCTGTTATTCATTGTAATTGTGCACATTTACTAATGAATAAACTCACACTTTGTTTGGAATTACAGCTCTGAGTTGTTTACATTATTTTACTCTCGTTATGTGCAGAATTTCCACAACAAGCCATTGGTCAGTGAAGAGCGGGAGGTGACCGTAGATGTTAATAAAGGTGCTTAAATGTGATTAAAAGTCATCATTCGTCTTTCTCATCCAAACACAGTCATCTGTAACTGGTGAGGGTCTTACGTTGAGGACCATCCCATGAGCGGGTTCTCCCAGCGTTCCCTCGTGTCGAAGTCCATTTTCCACTTCTTGGTGCTGTTGGCCCCAGACTGCATGGCGCTCTTGGCGGGGACGAAGATGTGCACTTTGCGTGTTTTAATGTGCTCCTCTGGAACTCCCGTCACCGATGTTATGTCCTGAAAATAACAAGAAAAAGCATGATTTTAGAGTCCCATGGATGTAATAGATTATGTGGAGAGGGTGTTGCTTCTAAAACCCAACTCCAGACTAAAACTGCTCTTAGAATAATCAATGACTCTTCTGGCCTCTGGATAAGCCATGTTCCAGCTTCTTCTTTCTGGCAGCAGATCTGGTTTTCTGAGATTTTTCAGCCGTTCTTTGTTGATTAGTCTATGGTGGATGGATAGCTATGGCCTACGCAGGTGGAATAACGCAAGACAAAATATCTGGCCCTCACAGTCACAAGGAATCCATTGTGTATCCATGTCATGACTCTAATATGTTCTGATTGTCTCTTGATGCGAAATGTCTTTCTATGTGTGGCAAAACAAATTACTATAAAAACCATGCCCATACTTTGTTCTGTCTGAAAAATCGGAAAAAACCTGAAACCTAATAAACTTCCGGGAAAGCTCTGGTGCGCAAAGATCCCGTCTCTGTGATGTTAATCTTGGACAAGTCTCACGCTGACAATTTCGGGCTGCAGCTTAAATCCACATGGGCTGTAAGGAAATGTCCCCATATAGACCTCAATCTTAACTAAAACAGCTCGTCCTCAGCTTTCACAAAGGTCAGGTTCTGTGGGGATTTTAGTGTCCCTCGTTGTGCTGAAACGTTTTCTTTAGAAATCCATTGGTTATCTATAAATCCACCCTTTTTGCAGTAGTGAAAAACAGATAATTCCATAGTTTTGAATGGGAGCCCTCTAAAACAAGTCACTTATTGCCAATGTGACTTTCACTTATAAGACACCTCCATTGTCCATAAGATACCTTTGATCTTGAATATTTTAAAAGTCTTTACAGCACATTTACCTATTCACAGAACCCTTATCAAGGCAAAATTTAACACGTACACTTCTTATCGTATCTTCAATGTCTGCTCTGGGAGTCCTAGTATTAAGCCGTCATCAAGGAAATATTAAGTAAGACTTTGTGCGGAAATAATTCAACGATTCAAGTATAATTAAAACTAAAATTGCTCTAAAATTGCTGATGGGCTCGGGCTTGTACAAAAGGAAGTTCAGGATTTTAAGGTGATCGGTCACGACAACTGCACACGGGAGTGACAGGTGGAAGTCGGCCAACAGGTCCTTTTGATGGAGTCCCGAACACTCCCGCTGTGTACTTAATAGACCTGGACTTCAGAACGCAAATGGCTTCAACTTTGTCGACTGATTCAAAAGACAAAGTACGAAAGGGAATGGATTATCAGACAGTTTAGATTTGGTGCCGTCTCATATATATATATTTCTACTCATCATTCCATACATGACTGCAACTCGATGTGCAGTGGGATTAAATGGTACAGGGGGTGAGGGGCATAAGGAGGCGCAAGAAGGAGCTCTCCCACAGGGCCTTCATCCCTACTGCTGTCAGACTGTACACCAAGACAAGATACACTTTATTGTCCCAAGAGAAATTGGCTGTGTGATAGAGTGCTACACAGATTTCCATGAATGAATGAAAATAAAAAGGGTCATTGCAGGAAAAAAACAACAAACAGGAAAGTGCAGTCGTGCTTTGAAATCTGTTTGGTCCAATTCTGCATCAAAATAAATAATAGGTCCTGGATGACATTTTAGAACATATTCATTATCAATTATTTTTGTAAGAGCCACTGAAGTTGGGACAAAGGAAAGCTTGGAGTCACTTATTGGACCTCTAACTTTGCACTGCCATAGTCACTTTTTAGTTGTACATAAGATTACTAATAAGATCTTTTTTTTGTTTTCACTTTTTCACTGTTTGGACTTTTCCTGCCAACTGTAACTGAATGTACCTTTCTCCGTTGTGGGATCGATAACGTTTTATCTTAGCTTCAAAGCTGACTGCAGGAGGAGCTATGTGACTCATTTCTACTACATTATTTTAGCTCAATATAGAGATTTCATATGAACAGTCTATTTAAAAGGGCCGAGACAACTGTGTTATAGAAAATAATCGGGTTACGTCCCCGGGAAAATCCTTGTTATTCACATTTATGGACTTTGGTGATCTGCCACTTATGGACCAATGGCTCTGTGTTGTTTGATCATAGCAATTCTAGCGTTTTAACTGTTTGATTCTCTGATCTGTGCTGGAGATAAATACTGTATTGCCACTATACACAAATGAATTGAATTAAAGTAGGTGTTATGCGTGATCCAGTCTGAATCAACATATTGAATGAGCTGAAGGTGATTTAAGAGGAAATCAGTTCAGTTACAGGTTTGACAGTCGTTCAAGAAAGTTCTGAGTTTACAATCACACCAAGGTCTCTCGCAAAGTCCTTGGCCCCGAAACCAGGTGAAGACTTCTTCTAGACAAGCTTATAAGACCTCTGAAGAAATCGGAAGGGTCAAACGTAGCCCTTGTTTTTTTGTCCAATAACAATAAAATTATCATATTGGATAAGTTTTGACAATTTTGCAAGAAGGGTTAGGGCTAGGGTTTTTTATAGATGACACCAAACTCACTTATATCGTGACTGTCACTGAGCTGCAGGTCTGTTTGGCTTTGCACAGAGATTTATGGGACAAAATTTACTAGTACAGAACAGTCCCTACAAAAGAGTCTTATCTCTTTTACTGTGGCATACTTCAGTTAGACAAAATAACCCGAGTTTATTAGACTTATTGCTGGAGCCACTGCGTTTTTATATGGGCAAAGAATCTGAACTAAGCTACACAACTAGACTTTTCCCAACTAACAAAAATCCCTCACACCTCTCTTGTCTCAGTATACATACACACTTCTCTCGTCTCAGTATACATGCGGACCCCTCTCTTGTCTCAGTATACATACAGACCTCTCTCGTCTCAGTATACATACAGACCTCTCTCGTCTCAGTATACATACAGACCTCTCTCGTCTCAGTATACATACAGACCTCTCTCCTGTCTCAGTATACATACAGACCTCTCTCGTGTCTCAGTATACATACAGACCTCTCTCGTCTCAGTATACATACAGACCTCTCTCGTCTCAGTATACATACAGACCTCTCTCGTCTCAGTATACATACAGACCTCTCTCGTCTCAGTATACATACAGACCTCTCTCGTCTCAGTATACATACAGACCTCTCTCGTCTCAGTATACATACAGACCTCTCTCGTCTCAGTATACATACAGACCTCTCTCGTCTCAGTATACATACAGACCTCTCTCGTCTCAGTATACATGCAGACCTCTCTCGTCTCAGTATACATGCAGACCTCTCTCGTCTCAGTATACATGCAGACCTCTCTCGTCTCAGTATACATACAGACCTCTCTCGTCTCAGTATACATACAGACCTCTCTCGTCTCAGTATACATACAGACCTCTCTCCTGTCTCAGTATACATACAGACCTCTCCCGTTTCTCTCAAAATTCTAACATACTTAGTAAAAAAAATGTGGAGGTGTCTTGTCAATTTGCTTCAGCACACACAAATGACAGTCTTAAAAACTCTTCTGCAGGATGTGTCTAAAAAGTAAAAAAAAAAAAAGTGCATGTTAGCGCACATGTGGTGGAGGGTTAAGTAGATTAATCATATGTCATTTTGTTTTGTAATTAACCCCTTGTGACGACAACCCCATGAGACTACAGATGGAAATTAGCCTTTGATTTAATCTCAGATGTTTACGTTCATGTTTTAGTATGTCTGTACATTGACATGCACCGTCCCATTCTGGACATTTCCTGCCAATTCACACCCTGAGTGATCGTATTCCAAGAAATATCAGGGAATATGGGAAAGTAGTCTCAGTAGTCTCATTTATTGATTACATGTGTTTCCAATTTAAATAGGACTAGACCAGTCATCCCATTCTCTCTGCTCCCATGTAAATGCAGATTCTAAAGAAAGGTTCCCTGCAAAAATATCAGTCTCATGTAATCATTTGGACCATGTTCTAAGCCTCATTCTCGATATCGGCAATTATTTCACACTGTTCCTAAAGATGCAGACGGAGCCAATCGTGAACGGAATCAAGTGGTTTTATTACATGCAATAAATAATGTCATTTTTGGACTGAGGTTTTAGCACTTTTGAGCTTTGGTGTTGGCTTATCGAAGGCGCACCGAGGATCGTGCGAGTGGGCATCGCTGGGTCGAGCCAATCAAGTGCACGCAAATCTGTTGGCGAGGATTGTCGGCGATCGCACAAACACATCTTTGTGCTCAGGGGTTTGGTTTGTTATCTTGTTCAATAGCACAAGAATAATGGAAGCATCAATTATTTCTTTGTGAGAAATTATGACTGCTGATTATAACTGCAGACTGTTATTGCAGCAAAGTCTATTTTTTAATTTTTTTTCTCCTTAGCTCTAAATGGGTAGTTGTCGCGGAGGACTTGAACATAGAGATTATCTAACAGTTCGAAAACAGGAAATGCAACAATAAACAAATAATAGGGCGACAGTGGCTCAGTTGGTAGAGCATTGGCCTTTGGGCCTGAACGTCGTGGGTTCAAGCCCACCATGAGACCTACTTAACGACTCCTACTGATGACTGCTGTCGTTGTGTCCTTGGGCAAGACACTTAACCCCACTTTGCCTGAAGCCCCCACTGGAAGATCTCAGCTCCTGTGGACTCACCACCTGCAGGAGGATCAGTGAGGGGCTGGTGCTCTGTGTACTGGGTGGCATCTCTGACTGCCACCGCCACGACCCAGAAATGGATTAAGGGGAAGAAAATGAATGAATGAATGAACAAACAAAGAAAAGCCATTGGTCCATAGGGGAGCGGGATGACCAATGTTAATAAATGTCCATAAATGTTAATTAATGCCCTGGATAAACACAGCTGTTTTTAGACCCTTCTGTATCTGAGTCAAAAACCCAGTGGGAAAATATAGAGAAGAAATATAGTCAAAGAATTTCCAAAGAGAAATACAACTAGTTCTTAGGGTTCTTGTGGCGCCCTTTAAAATCTATTTTAACAAGCGAGGAAGTCTCAGTGAGCTGCAACAGGCTGCAGCCACCCAGGAC